TAGGTAGGTAGGTAGGTAGGTAGGTAGGTAGGTAGATATGTATGTGTATGTATGTATGTATGTATGTATGTATGTATGTATGTATAGATGGATGGATGGATGGATGGATGATAGGTAGGTAGGTAGTAGGTAGGTCAGGACAGGACAGGACAGGACAGGACAAGACAAGACAAGACAAGACAAGACAATATTATGAATTGTAAGATGGTCAACTGATTTTTCACCTTAGTTGTCTTTAAATAAAAGCAGGAGAAATGCTGTACACTTTGAGTAAAACATGGCATTTGTGTATGGCTCTTGATATAAGTATCTCTGATACATCGGCTTGATGTTCATGCCTGAGACCCCTGGGATCAGATGCATTTCCTGTATTCACTTTTCTTTTAAACCATATTAGTTTGCAGAGCTCTTCCTTTTCTAAAGCAGAAAATGTGGCCACTAGAGATATACTGTTTGTACGACACAGTACACCATCCTGAAAAAAACAAGGTCCTTCCATGTCAGCAGGTTAAGGTACAAATAAGTCATCAATAAGAAATGGCATTTGGCTTTGACAGGAACACTCAGATTTATGACTCAAGAGTTACAGAAGAACTATATTAAGTTGCTTTTAAGTTTTGTTTTGATTGGTATTCCTCTGTCTCCTCTGCCCAACTTTCTGGTCACACACTACAGTATCAAAGATGTTATTCACTTCTGGAAAGGGGGAAAAAATGAATCCCACAGCATTTCTTTTTAATAACTGTTCAGCTACAAAATTTTATTGGTATCCTTTTTTATGTTCCCTCTAGAGGATGTAATGCACAAAAGCATTGCCACGGAACATATAAAATTACAAATGAAATTTATTGTAAAAAGTAGAATGTCTCCTAGACAGGTGTCAGTATTTATTTTCATTCAGAAAACAAAGCCAAAAAAAATTTGCAGATATAATATATTCATTTGTCAGCAAGTTCATGGGTGTAAATTGCCATCCAACGTTACTTACTGATATAAGACAGATATTGAAAAGACAATTTAAATTTACTCTTCAAGACATAAACTGTTCCACAAAAGCACTGTAAAAACGCCTCCATGATGTGTTTGTTTTCTCTGTTGTGCTTCACACTGATGGTTAACTACATAATTTGGTTGTGTCGTAATCCATTGTGTTTGGCAATTTGGCATTGAAGGTCTGCAAAGCCGATTGAATCCTCATCACTTCACTGGTGGAAAGCTTGAGTCTGTGGCGCAGTAGGCATGAGAAAAGATCTAGGCGACGCTGACCGGGAGGAGAAAGGTTATTTACACGGTCCCGTATCTCTAGTAGCTGCAAGAGCGCGCTATCCTGGGATCCCTGAGTATAGGGGTAGTCCAGTTGCAAAATCAAATCTCGGATTGCTTCCGGGTCAAAGTGCATACTGTAGCCAAACACTTGGATGCTGTTGATTTTCATGTAGCCCAGGTTTCGGGAGGGATCTATAAACTCCAGGGGTTCATAATAGATGCTATCATTGGCATTGGGGCCATTTGACTTTATACGACTCCTCAAGTAGATGTGGACCGTTTCAAAAAACGTCTTCCACTTGTTGCCTAGAGTCAGCGTCCAGTTATAACACTGAAGCGGCAAGTCCAGTTTAGTCCGCTCCCAGTCTGGGAAATTGTTCTCATTGACAGGCATAAACCAACTCTCAGAGTGGCTGCCTCCAAAAGGGTTGATGTAAACGGCCAGGACAGGCTCCAAGGTGCTGTTCTTAGTGAGACAAATTTGAAGAGACATTCCCAATATCATGTGGACCAGGCTAGATTTATACTTGTTGCTCTTTAGGGTAAGAAGCATTCGTTTGCGCCAGGACGGGTCAAACCAGCTATTGAGACGCATGTCGTTGCTGATGAAGATGGCATGAACCTCAATCCGGCGGTCCGTTTTCTGCAATAAATACTTCATCTCCAAATCCTGGAGGTCAGTCTCAAACCCAATGTAATGTTCTGTGGAATCTGCCACTTCGGGCTTGCAAAGCCCTTGGCTCAGCATGTATCCAGTGTTACAGGTCCCACAGCGGGTACGATTATCAGGCGCACAGGTCAGGCAGGAAGAACCTTCTCCCACACTACACGGTAAGGAGCCAAGGCAGGCGAGCTGGTCATTGGGGCACGTACATGAATGAGTCTCTTCAGAAAAACTGCCCAAGAGGCCATTTTCGTTGCAGTAAAGGAAGGACTGGATGCGATTTAGCCAATAGAGAGATGATCTGTAACGCAAACATAAAATTAATGAATACATAGTGAGGGGTAGATCAAAGTAATCAATTAAGCTATTTTTATTCACTTTGAAGGTGAAAACTTCCCCTGATATATTGAAAAAACAAACAAACATCTGACATGATTTATTCAATCTAAATGGGGAGGAAAAACACTTTCTAAAGTGCAATGATTAAGAGAATGAGGTGCAATCTAAAAAGTTCTTGCTTGTAATCTTACTTCAACCATCAGCTTCCTGAAAACATTATCACTCAAGTGTATAACCCCACAACAACAACAAAATAAACACTAATCTATAATAGGAGAATAACTTTTCCTTGAAGCATTGAAAGGGAAACTCTTTGAAGGATTAATTCAGCTGCTTTGACACCTTTAATGGGATTCTTGCATGTGCATATGCCACACAGTCATGTTGCTTTCAGTTCCTCTGCTCTGTTCATACATGGAACATATTCTGTTCATGGGATCAACCAGTAAGATCCTCAATGCAAAAGCAGAATTTTATATAGCATACAGTTGTCGTGATGCTTCAAGGCTGCTTTGAAAAAGATGAGACACAGCTATCTCTTTGATGGATGATCATCAGAAAATCCCATTAAAAAAAAAAAGATCAGTGAAGGTAACAGAGAATCATTATCATATTGTTACCAAGAAAATAACCGATATGCCCACAAATTTACTGTGATTCAAATCTGTTTGGTAAAAGATTTTACCTGGAATTGAAAGCTTTGAGACAGAATATATACAAAACAAAACATCCCTTGTTATGGCACTCAAGATAATATATAATACATAATGTATTTACATATATAATATTGCAAGATTTTGTTTTTCCTTGCAGATAGCACTGCATCATCTCTCCTGTCCATTTTTATCAGAAACATCGCTAAAGATATATTAGTTAAAAATAGATCTCTCCTGGATTTTGGAAAATTTCAAAATTACCATGCATTCTACAAATTGCCTACCTCACACCACCATTTCTTTTCAAGCATCAGTTAGTTTCAAAGCTGAATCTGGGTTTAATCTACTTGATTCCAAATGCATGTCTGTTTCAAGGAGATCTAAAATCCCTGAAGCATTTGCCAAAAACCTTTATCTCAATTTGGATTATGGAACTGGACTCCGTCAAGGTTTAATGCGTATTGCACATTAAAACATTGGTTTTAGAAGCAGAGACACTTCAAAAGGGCACTTCCCCCCTCTCATTCTTATCAGACCAAATATTTGCTGTACTACTACTATTACTGGGAGAAAAACGGCAAAATTTTCTGGATAAAATATAGTAGAATATTGTGCTATTGGAATATTGTGTATTGCCTATTTTTTATTTATTTTTAATTTAAAACAAACACAATCCTTCTTTACATGCTGTAGAAAGTGTATCAATTGGTTACAAAAAGACTTTTGTGCATCTCTTCCACACTCAACAAACATACTTCATATTAACTCAAGCATTTTAACTCAAATATTTAAACATGTCCCCATCATCATCATACCTCCATTTTCATTTGACTATAATTGTTTAAGCGTCCTTCATCATAAAATATACCAATGTTTAATACATAACCACATACTGGCCTTTCAATTNCCTGGTATGCCCAAATATGGGAGGAAGTTCACTGCTTTCATTCTCTGTCCATCGGCTCGTCACAAGAGACCATCCAGACAGAAATATTGGGTTTCATACATATACATACATACACATACACATACACATACACATACACATACACATACACATACACATACACACATACATACATACATACATACATACATACATACATGTTTGAAATATAGTGAGCATGGATATGATAGTCATTTGGGGAATGACTATCCCCCAATGAGGCAGTATCTGGGTTAAAAATGTGTGTGTTTGAGTGTGAGACATAAGCAGCAGGAGATCATCTACTGGATAATGTGGCTGTCAATTATGAAAATTCATACGTCAATTGAATCTGTGAAAGAAGTTCTAAAGGCAATTGAGGTATTCTTCACCTGTTGGTTTCCATTGTCTTCTCTTTTTTGTCTTTTTTGTCATTGTTTGGCCTTAGTGATATCACTATCTAGCAAAATTTGGTTTGGGTATATGTCTTCACTCTGCTCAAAGGTGACTACTTATTGATTACTTAGGTGACTCATCCTGGCATAAACAATAATGTGCCATTTATTTCAATAATTAAAAGTGAGAAACATGCACTGTGACATCATAACACGAAACCCAACTCATATGTGTTACCTTCCACTATAAGGTGTAAGTAGAGTTTGCATTATGATATTGCATTATGATATTATACAGCATTTCACCCAAGAAACAGCTAAGAATAGCAGTAGGAATATAGTTGTAGAATGCATGTTGGAGCCTTCCTTATAAAAATAAAAATCTCAGATGACTTAATTCATACATTAAAAAATAAAGTCCTACAGTTTTGCCCAAGGAATGTTGATTTTCATTAAAAATAAAAAAAGGAAGAAACTCTCATGGACTCAAAGCTTTTTGAAATGAATGGAAAAGAAAATAATTACATGAGGATCCAAGTTGCCTGAAGAATTTTTAGATAGAAAAAGTAGAACATTAATATTTTAAATTTTAAAGAATAAACACAACCATGTATTATGAATGACTACTATCTATGCTAGTTTATTGTTCAGCATATTGGACACATTACTAATTAATAAAATGTAAAACTTTCTGCCAGAAAATAATTATGTGTCCAAGTTGGCACCAAGTCTAATATCTAATTTCCAAAAAGTACATATTGGCTTTTAGGGAGAATAAAAAAGTGGTAAATCTCATTATACAACTAGCATTCTTGGTATTTATAAAAATACAAAACATTGCCCCAGAGAACAAAATCAACGGGGAATAAAGGAATTAGTACACAGTTTTTTAATTTCTGCTTAAAATTAGAATATAAAATAACAGAGTTGGAAGGGACTTTGGAGGTCTTCTAGTCCAACCCTCTGCTTAGGCAGGAAACCCTACACCACTTCAGACAAATGGTTAACCAGCACCCATTAAATTAAAAGTCAATTTGTCAGCCCCTTTTTACAATAAATTTAATACTTAATACTTAAAAAAAGGAGTGGGTTTGAGACATTTCTCAAGGACTAGTGGGAGGCTGTCACACATCATTAAGGTCACAATATATTCTTCTTAACAATATTCATGTTCCACACACCCCCCCTTCCTCCAAATATCTGACAATGTTTGGGGAAAATTGAAANCTTAATCCATCCATTTCAAAAGGCTTGCATAAATTCCATCCATGAAGATAGCATTTAAAATTTAAGATAACCACTGTCCAAAACCATTCCAAATTTAATTCCCCCGCTTAATTCTTCTGTTCTCCAATTTGAATTAATTTTAAGTTTTTTATAGGCAGTCTCTTTTTAAAACAGCAAAAGTTCCTCACCAGCTGGAAACACTCTCTTTTTCCGTATCCTTTTGTTTTGGAGCCACCTCGACTTCTTCAACCTTGGCTGGATTTTTTTTGTCGCCAGCTTGAAGAACTTCTCTTGCATCTATCAGGGACTTTGCGATGTCCCTGAGGTCAACAAGACCTATTCTTCTTGTTCACCATCTCTGCAGAATGGTTTAGGTCCAATTGGACCACCCAGCAGCAAAAGTATTGGCTGCGGTCTCGGAGCATCAAGACCGCACATCCATATTGTTGCGACGTTGGCTCTTCCTCCGGAATATTGTATATTTTTATAATGTGATGGACAGACAAATAATGACATCCCTTTATGTGACTTCCATCTCATTCATCCATGTTTCAAAAGTAAATTGAGAGGACAATGGGAGCTTTCAAGGTTCTAGACTGAGAGTGGGGGCGAGATTTATACGGAAAAGATATTTTAAGAACAAAATCAAGAAGCTAGAAACTTCATTATGTATGTGCTTTCCAAAGTGCTTGATTCAATGTTAGGAATATATACATTGTTGAAAAGAATATGGCAGCTGTAGCTATGCAACATTATTGAATACTGGAGGTTTCTGCACCTAATTTGTTGCTCAACAGATGTAAAAATGTAGGAGATGAAATATTAGGTAGGTTAAAAACTTTATTTACCGGAATTTAAAGTTCTGCAAGGAAGAAAAGCAATACAAGTGAGGGTACTGGGTGAATTCCATCCTGAGTCTAGGCAGTAAATCTGAGCAAATAATCAGATCTACTCTTCGCCTGGTTTCCCTCATTTATATAGCAAGTGGGTCTTGATTATCTTCCTACCTCTTTTCCAATAAAACTATATTTCGGGATCCAATAAAAAGTAATTATTATAATGTATAGCTTAATCTGGTTGGCAATAATATCATGACAACATTTAATGAATTTGGAGTTCAACGGTTCAAGCCCTTGGATTACAATTCTACCTACTCAGTATTGATTGAAGTGCTCTAAAATTCCATCTGGAAGTATTTTTTTTTTCACCGTTTCCTTACTATGTTGTACTTTAGGACTTGATGTTTCTTAGTTGGCATACCCCTCAAATTTCTCTTTGTCTTGATAAAGAGGTCTGGCTGTAAAATTGTATGGGGAGGGAAGGGGATGCTTTTCTATGGCATGAAAAGAATAATCTCAAATGAATACCAGTTTTTTCCCTGTGTCTCGCCTCTTAATAAGTAAAACTTTTGCTTTTTCACCAAATGGTGGAGCCCTGGTGTCACAGGAGTTAGAGTGTAATATTCAGGCAAACTATGCCCATAGACAGGAGTACAATTCTGGCAGGGCATAAGGTTGACTCAGCCTTCCATCATTTCAAGGTGGGAAAAATGAAGGCTCAAATTGTCAGGGGCAATATCCTGGTGTTGTTAACCATTTAGTGCATGCTATAAAGCATTATGGAGTGGCATATAAGTCTAAGTGCTATTGCTAAAGAATAAGAAATAAGCAAATACCAATATTATTCAATTAGCCTGTATAGCACCAACTGGTACTATTGTCAGGGTTCCAAGTAACACCCCAAACTATCAGGAATGGAGTAGAAAAGCCTAGTCCCAAGTCATAAGCTTCAAGATAGTAGCTTCCAAATGTGCAAGACTGATTTTACTTTGCAACAATTACACTGCTGAAGTTTTTAATTTTAAATGGGTTATGTTCATTACCTTTCTTTGG